TTCAAAAGGATTTTCTCGCTAAACTTCTGTTCTTGAAGAGTGGTTTCGATTTTCCACAGTCTGATAGATTTGATGGCCGGGATCACCCGTTGTACTCCCTCTGTATTTATCAGTTTACTAAAAGCAATATAGAAAGTGTTGTTAATATCCCTCTTCTTATCTTCCTGTCAACTATCCATAAAGAGCATTAGTCAAATAATTCCTGTATGAAGGATGTATCAATACTGCAGTGACTTGTGATTGAGGGTATGTGGCTTCACATAGTTAAGTTGTGCTTTCTAAAAGTCACAGAATAAGCAGTTATTAGAAAATTTAACCTAGTCATTCAAATTAAGTATATAATGTTAAGAAAGGGGTTTTCTTGCACCATCTATTTCTTAGGATATACATATGTATAGAGGTGTGTGTGTGTGTATGTGTGTGTATACAAAGGGCTCTCTGGGAAGTATCCAGCCATTTTTAATACAATTTTTCATATTGCATGGCTGGATACTTTCTGAACAGCCCTCATATATCTGATGATAAATATAATTTCATCGTTGAAATGAATAGGGTCAGTTTTTCTGTTTGTCCTCCATTGGTTTTACACATAAAAAGTAAGTTAGTTAAAAACAGCAGGCGGAGATTCTGGTAAATCCAGACATGCTAATGGGAAGAGCTGGCATCTAGTAATCAAAGCAACAAAAAGCTGAATCTTACTGAGACACCAAATTCTATGTCTCAGAATCTTCACATAAAGATGAGATGGAAAGTAAGGAAGAATCAAATATTGCCTAAAACACAGTTTGCCCTGATCCTGGATGTATCATAACTGATTAAGTAACTGTAGTGCTTTCTGAAGTGGAAAGATATGAGTTCTTTAGAACACTCCTCCTCAAGCTCGATGAACTAGCCCATCTTTGTCACTTATACCCCTGACGACAGCCCTGTATTCTTCACTACTATAGATACTAATTTGAGTGAGAATACAATGAATTAATTTCTTACTTAAGCAATTTTTAATTAAAATATTTTTGATTAATTAACAAATTTTAAGTCGTTTTTTACCCAGTGTAGATAATAGCAGATTGAATGTCTGGTTTCCCCTTGTTCCTTCTGCTTATCATCCATCTATCTGTCATCACCCGCCTGTCTAGCTAGCTAGCTATCTTGATTTTGGAAATATCAAGGGCCAGGGATGCCAGGAAGCCTCCATACTGAAATATAAAAATTCAGTTAATGATGGATAGTGTAGCAGCTTAGGCATCTCAGACTTCTACAGAGTTTCAACTTCAAGGAAACTTACACTTTCATACTAGAGTTTTACTAGGTACTTTGCTTTTTAATGGTATTGGCCATGCCTGAGTTTCATGTAGACTTATATTAAGGAGGAAAACTTTTAAGTGGAAAACTTCAACGCATTTCCCATTCTATCAAGATTAATGGAATATGGTCAATGAATACCAATACAACAGAGTTATTATACATGTTTCAGTGGAAAAAGAAAATACTTTTGAAACTTCAATATCACTTGACAAGAAATCTGTTTAAATGAAAACACTGCAAGTACAGAATGATGGAAAAATACGCTGTTTTTCTCGATTAACAACATCCACAGTCTTTCATAGAATACCCACAGGAAGCCCAGAAACATAATGGGAAAAGTGCAAAAATCTATCGAGGGCTTTATTGGCTCAGTTATTCACTGATTCACAGCAGATATAAATACTCTCCTTGGCCTTAGGGCTGCCTTCAAAAATGCTTGTCTATATCAACTTAGATTGCAAAATAAATAAAATAAATAAAGCATCAGTGACTGTTAAGCTACTGCAGGCAGAGATTGAAAAATAGTGCAATAATGTTCTAAGTAGCTGACCAAGATCAGAGCTCCTAGGAGGGAGTGACAGGTGGTCTATGCACCCGCAGGCTCTGACTCTCTGAATGCTAAATGGCACATGGCACTTACTCTACCTGGACTAATAATCACAGCAGCCACGTTGTGCCAAACACTGCTTGTGTTTCTCATCTGTGGTTTCTGCGGCAAATGTCATTTTAAGAATCTTATAAAGAAATGGAAATGATTTATACTTTATCACGGATTTTAAATACTGTGTCAAAACATAAAACCATTGAATAAATTATATATATATATATATTTTTATTTCAGAATATTATGGGGCATAAACATTTTGTTACATAAATTGCCTTTGCACTGCCTGAGTCAGAGCTGCACGTGGGCCCCACTTTTCCATATACCTTGAGTTTAGAAGCATTAAGATGCTATCACATGGCAGAGTAATCTTTGTGTGTGTGTATCTGTGTCTCTATTGAAGTTTAAGAGCAGAGGGGACATGTATTTCCATTTCAGTTTCTTTAGCAACTGCCACAGTAATAAATATGATATTTGATAAATGAATAAAAAGAATGATTGGACAGGTGAACAATGCTATTATTATCAATAAACATTTTTTTTTCTGGAATTTTAGGGGGGGAAATACTCTGGAGCTATATCCTTGCCAAAGGATATTCTAGAACTCAGGGAGGTTTCAAATTTAATTTCTGAAGACACAGCCCTGTTTTGACACATTTACCAAGCCATAAGCTGCTAGGGTTACAGTTTTAAAGTGGATAAGATAAGGAAAGTGATGAGAGTCAGCTGAAGTTGGAGATGGGTATAATCTAACAACAATAAAAAAGGATGCAGGAAATTTCTTAAACTGTAATTGTTTTAAGATCTAGAAAACATTTTTAGGGATTGAAGAGAGAAAAAAATGGGTATTTAATCTTCAGATTTATAGCATAATAGGTAATTATAGCAAGTGAGTATAGCAGGGTCTGTGCAGCCTTAAATTATCTCCTAAAATTCTAAGGACTCAAACTACTGGAACATTTTCATAGGAAAAAGGATATCCCTTCTTTAGGGGAAAAAATTCCAGCTTTCCTGATATCAATCAATATGTCATCAACAGATTTCTTGCCTACTTCAACATGAAATTCTTTCTTGAAAGTCTGTGAAATTCCAAAATCAATTATGTGCTTGGTTTTGGAACCAAGTGGTTGGGAGGAGCTGAGTCTGAGAAGCAGGAGGAATTTTTCATCCTATCTTTCCCTTCCAGTACCTCACCCCCACGCCCACCTCCCCACTGAGAACGTTCATGTCTATGCTGCTGCTCTGCTTTGCTGTTAGGATTTACTATAGATAGAGTGGTAGGTGATGCTGAGACATTTTTGTCAACAACTTTGCTCTTCGGATACAGTTTTCCTAGTTTTTCAAAAAAAGTTCAATTGGCTTGGTATTTCTTAAAAATTTTATTTTATGTTTTCGTCATCCTGATAATGTTGAATTTTGCCTAAGCTCTGTGCTTCTGGCAATCAGTGAAAATTTACAGACACCCCACCACAACCCCACCACACACAGCCCTTTTATGTTTCTCGAAACAGCTTAACTGCAGAAAACCACCCTTCTCCCCCTTCATAATACCCAGATAATACTGGAAGACGACTCCCTTTATGCTCAGGGCAAGGTCAGAACACACCCTTCATATCTCCACTCTTTGCCTCATAAATGGTGAGAGAGACTGTTTCTACCCATTGACCAAAATGGATAAAACACCTATTGACTTGACTTGACCAAGCTTGAGCTAAGCTCATTTCCTTCCTGTAGACCCTGAACTTTAATGCACCCTTGAGCACTAGAACACAGGACAATCTCTTCCTAGTAGCTCCTCTGGAAAATCAGCTCACTTCAGCAGAAAATATCAATTTGCTGATCACCTCACTCCCTCATAACTAGTTCTGGCTAGCACTGTTTACTCCTTCCCTATGCAAGAAAATTCTTCTCTGCCTCATCTTTGAGATGTTTGCAGAGCTCATGGTAGGAGATTTTCCCCATTGCAATAACCCCAGCCACCACTGTCCAACAGTTCTCCTCGCTCTGTTGCAATAATCCTTTTAAACAAAATCTCCCTTCTATGCCCAAATTTATATTTACTTGAGAATACAAAAGTGTTTTATATAGAAAATGAGCTGTGGCAATAAAGTAGACACACTAAAGGTGAGAACTATACACGTCAACACCTAGAGTGTCTATCAGGGAGATATTTTAGTCAAAGCTTTTTGGAAAGCGGGAACAGATGAGCTGGGCAGGGCACGGAACACGCGGAGGCAAGCACTGCCACACTGCCCTTCCAGCAGCTGGGGTGTGGACAGAACGTGAGGGAGACAGGAACATCAGCTTCATCTGCAGGAAGCTTTCACACTATACATTTTTGCATATTCCCCCTCCACTCCAGACTTTCACACGCTCCCCTAAGGTCAGGGGTCGGTTTGTACCGTTTAACATCCCTGAATATGCCCTTCCCCGGAACAACCATTCCTTAGAGACATGGGGCTGCCAAAAGGATGCTCAGTGCAGGGTGGGAAGCTGGGCCTCTGGTTCTGCCCTTGGTCAAAGGCCTGATGAGAAAACGGACTAGTTGAAATAGGACAGCGGAACAGTGCTAAGGAAAACGTTACCTCCAGGATTTGCTTATTCAAAACCATAGGCATATCTGATAAAATCGCAAAACAACTTCTATCGCCAAACATCATTTGTGAGAAACCTATAAATCTCTGATGGTCTTAAGAGTGAAAAGTAATAATTTCATTTTCAAAAAAATAAAGCAAAAATTAAGATATTTTTCCAATTGGTTATATCATGAATAGTGTTAAACTTATTTGAACAACAGACATTTTTGTCATTAAGATACTTATAATTTTATTATTCAAATAAGCTTAGCACCATTCATGATACAATTGATTGCTGGCTACGATGAATTGTGTCAACATAATCTGTTGATATAAAAATTTGTTTAATTCCCAAAGTATAAAATGGTCTACATAGAATAATACTTAATATCTTGGCATATTTTGCATTTAAATGTAAAATTATTTTTAGTCTTTTTGGTAATAAAATTATTTGACATTTCCTAACAGTTTTTAAGGATTTATGAATTATTTACAATCAAACAGTGAATGGATTATACTATTGACCACATATATTGATTGAGTAAAGCACAATATTAATTGCAGGAGGTAAAGGTAACAATGGATAAGAAATGACTTGATTTGGGATTTTAGTCTTACAGGAATACTTTAAGGCAAATTTCACAGTACATGGGTATAATTGTAGCGGTGACCACAAAATTGTAGATTACAGTTAAGATCACTTCTTAATGTTTTCTCTGATAAGTATGTCATCCTAACTATTCTGGGCTTTATTCATAATGTTAAATATAAATCTGCCTGTTCTCAGATTATCTTGTACTCATTTCTACTTTTCCTATTACAGCACTATGCCATGTTATTTCTAAGAGGAAGAAAAAGAAATCTGTTCATAGGGAATTAATTATATTAGCAGACCCAGCTCTCCACACTTCCGATTAACTAGTTGGAAAAGGGGAAGAAAATATTAACTTGCCCAAGATGGCGATGACTTCATGAAGTTTTTATTTTCTCTATAATTATTAACCCAACCTGCTTTTAATTTTTATCTGGTGTGCCCAGTGATAGATTCAAAGTGTTAGCAAATTGCACATTCTAATTTGATCCTTTAAGTCCATCTCTGATGTCACCTACAATACTTAGCTTAGGCCAGTGTTGCCTATACCAGAGGAGTGTGCAATGGCCAGATTCTGTGGAGTGAAATTTTCACGCACTACTGAAAATTCCCATTGCCAAGTGTAACAAGAAACTTCCTTAACTGAAGAAAGAATCCCTACAACTCTCAGGACTGAAATGTTGAGGTAGCTCCTCAGGCAAGGCTTGATCAAACCCCACAGGACTCAGGCTGTCCTTCCGGGTCTACGGACTGCAGCGCCGTCCTCACGCTGGGCTCCTCGTGGCAGCGCTGGTGAGCCCCACCCAGCACCGTCTCACGTAAGCGTCAGGAAGAAAAATACATCCCTTGCTGGAGTGGAGCAGCGATGAAGCGTTTCTTTCCTCTGAAGTCTCAGTGGTGTTACTGCCCTGGCACCGTTCAGGACTGGAGATGGAAACAAGCGCGGTAGCCCGCAAGACGATGATGGGCAGAGACCACCCTCCCTGTGGGAAAGACGCGGACCCCACCGGATCGCCACGGCAAATGAGGAGGTAGGGCGTTGCTTCTCAAGGAAACTGGGCTGCCATGGTAACAGCGAAGGCAAGCCTGCTGGTGTCCACACAGCTACGCTTTACCACCTCGCTGCCAAGCATCATCCCAGCCCGAAGGCGACTCCTGCTTACAGCTTACAGCGTCTGGCACCACAATCCATTACTCCGTTGACCCAGCTAGGACCAGCCATCCATTGGACTTGTCACCATTCTGTGTAAAACAGGAATGAGCGCAGGAGTGACTCCATGACAGGCTGCACTTCCGGGAGTAGGCCCAAGTTTAGGTTCCTCCGAAACTTCTCCAACTACGCCCTTCCCGGAAGTGACGCCAACAACACCCTTCCCGAAATGACCCGCGGCTTTTGAAGGAGCCAATCAGGAGCCGTCATGATCAGCCACTTTTAAAGGAGCGGATGAACTATGCGGGGAGGAGGGATGGTGTGTCCTGCGTGTGTAACCCACAGAAAAGCGTAAAAGCTTGACTTACACCCCAGGGCGGGGTCCTGGTTCGTAGGGAGGCCACTGCGTCGGGGCCCTGGGCCCTAGCTCAAGCTAGTCGATAACTCCTTTGTGCTTTGCAGCCTCAGCGATTCTGCTTCTCTGTTCATGGGGCCGAAGGAAACCGGCTCTAACATTTTCCTCACTTCTTGTGACCTCCCTTTTCCTTCTGTTCTCGTTTGCCTTTCAAGCGAAATTATTATTAATATTATCACTACTCCAGTGTATAAAAATCTATGTGAGGGAATGCAATTGATATTCATTAGCTATGTTTAACCATTCTACAATGTATATATACTTCAAAACATCATGTTGAACACAGTAAAAATTTATATTGTCTGTCAATTATAAAAATAATAAAATATACCTTTTTGTTCAAAAGGATTTAGAATTTGATTCGGGGAAGTTGTAGAAAGTGTCAAAAGGTTTTAGCATACTTGATTAAATAGGCTCACACATCACTGTGAAACAATTCCAAAGAGACAAAAGATTTTAAAGGCAAATATAAAAACTTAGTTATGAATAAAACTTAGATCTTTTAATATCGAAAAGACTTAGTTTTCTTAAGTCATCAAAGGCCTCATAAAAGACAACACAAAGCACATAAAATTATCTTCATAAAATACAAGATGTTTGTTTAGTAGATTATCTACTTACTTGACAGGTAAAAAAAAGTTTATAATATTTTGTCAAATGCAGACTGATACTTCAAGAAAAATGTCATTTAACATGGAAGATCACATTCTAGTTTTTTTATTAGTGTACCATTAATACTAATTCTTTAAAAAATCTTATAAATATATGCAGTCTCAGCCAGTTTTGACTTTATAAGATTCCATTTCCTAGATTTCTTTTCCACAAATCTTTCACAATCTTTTCATAAAATCCATCAGGTTTTTTCTTTTTTCTATCTAAATCTGAAATACTTAGTCATTCTACTTTAGTATAGAATTGCTCTTTTTTTCCCTTAACAAAAATATAAATTTGTACTTCATCCCTTTTTTTAAACACCTTAATTTCCTTGCTTACTTTCCAATACTGAGTTGTTTTTCTTATAATATATAGTCATTTTAGTTCCATATATTAGTTAGAAGTTTTCATTCTTAATAACCTTAATTTTTAGTACAAACTAGGAAGTAATTGAAAACTGTCACAACCAATATTCTACATATGAACATCATTTAAAAATTTCTAAACACATATGCTTACTCATAGTACAATTTCTCTTGTTTAGTAACAGACTCAAATATCTTTAGTTCCACTATATAGCATAAAAACAAGATGTCAAAAGTTGATAAACTGGCCGGGCGCTGTGGCTCACGCCTGTAATCCTAGCTCTTGGGAGGCCGAGGCGGGCATCCGGATTGCTCAAGGTCAGGAGTTCGAAACCAGCCTGAGCAAGAGCGAGACCCCGTCTCTACTATAAAATAGAAAGAAATTAATTGGCCAACTGATATATATATATAAAAATTAGCCGGGCATGGTGGCGCATGCCTGTAGTCCCAGCTACTCGGGAGGCTGAGGCAGAAGGATCACTCGAGCCCAGGAGTTTGAGGTTGCTGTGAGCGAGGCTGACGCCACGGCACTCACTCTAGCCTGGGCAACAAAGCGAGACTCTGTCTCAAAAAAAAAAAGTTGATAAACTTTGTTCAGCAATGAGTGTTTCAGTATTTTATCTTACTTGGAAATAATCCAGGTTGTTGATGAATATGTGTCACTTAATTTAACTTAATATAACTTAAGGCTTAAGTTACCAAAAAATTCTTAAAACTATTTTTAATTTTATAAAACATAATTATTATTGAAAAAGTTCTTTATAAACTTGCATATCATTTCACTATTCTTAAAAGTTATGCTTTCATTACTTATGAAAATTACATGATACACTAAACAAAGATAGACATCATCTTTTATATATGCCTGATTTCTCTTGTTAAATCATGCATGAATTAAAAAATCACAGAAACAAAGAAACTAAACAGTTAAACAGTACTCTTCCTTCTTCTTTATTTATTTACATTTACATGACTGACAGGCATCAAGCAATTCATTTTTATTGTACATTTTGTTCTTAGGTTAGATTTATCATTTCATGATCTTAAACAACTGGTAGGGATAACATAAGCTTGTTTGACCAGTAAACCTAGGTAGACAAAATTGTATGCCTGCATTATATTTAATGCTGACCATTCTGAATACATTTCAGTTTTTATTTTACCTAGTTCTAAAGCTAGTTTTATTTACCAAGTATTATTCCAGGTTAAGTAACCTTAAAAAAAACTGAGGTTGCTTTTATACTTCTGAGTGTTTTGTGAATATTTCATTTATATGATTTCCCTCTAAGCCAATATGAATAGAACTCCTTCAAGGAATTTTATAAATTAATTTAGTAATATCATCTGGAGTAATATCATCTGGATATTAATTTAGTAATATCATATGTACATATCATATACATAAACATATGAAAACCTAAAGACAGATGCAAAGATAGCATTGCTTTCATTTTAAAACTTTAGTCATATGCCAGGTATAATATACAAAACTCACTAGTTTATAGAAGAACATAAGGATCCAAATTACGTTTTGGAGAGATGCAACAATCTTACACTCCTGGCTCAAGCCATCCTCCTGCCTCAGTTACCCAGGTAGCTGGGACTACAGGACGCCTGGCTAATTTTTCTATTTTTATTAAAGATGGGGTCTCATTCTTGTTTAGGCTGGCTTTGAACTCCAGGGCTCAAGCTAACCTCCTGCCTCGGCTTCCCAGAGTGCTAGAATTACAGATGTGAGCCACCACACCTGGCTGTTATACATTATCTTTAGCAACATGATTCCAACAAGAAAGAAAGCAGACAGAGGGGGCAGAAGATACAGTTAGCAGGGATTCAGAGAGAGGTTTCTGTTGGCTAAGAAGAACCCAGGGCAGAGGCCTGATCCAGTGGAGAGAACAAATAATTTTTTTTTTGAGACAGAGTCTCATGTTGTTGCTCAGGCTACAGTGCTGTGGCATCAGCCTAGCTCATAGCAACCTCAAACTCCTAGGCTCAAGCAATCCTTCTGCCTCAGCGTCCTGAGTAGCTGGGACTACAGGCATGCACCACCATGCCTGGCTAATTTTTTCTATATATTTTTAGCTGTTCAAGTAATTTCTTTCTATTTTTAGTAGAGACAGGGTCTCACTCTTGCTCAGGTCAGTCTCGAACTCTTGAGCTCAAATGATCTACCCACCTCAGCTTCCCAGAGTGCTAGGATTACAGGCGTGAGCCACCGCGCCAGGCCCGAGAATCTTTAATAATGTCTTTAATATATTTTGATTATCAGCTTCCAACTAAGCTGACTTCTGACCATAGACATCTTAGAAAATTATTTCCTAGCAGTGTTGAACTCCCTTTACCCTTTTCATATGTAAGTCAAGGTACCTATGAAGTGGCTCAAAACCAAAACAAATAAGCTTTTTATGATTTAACCAGGGATGTAAGAGGCATCCTCAAAAAGAGCACAAAAAGATGCAATGCTCCCAAAAGCCAGAACCATTAACAAAGACAAGCAAAGGAAAGGGGGCCTTTGTTGTCAAAGGAGAACAAGTGTTGTTAAATAACAAAAGTTGAGATTACCACAGCCCCTTACAGACCGGGGCACTTATGACAGACTCCCATGAGAGCTGGCATGTTGGACAGAGAAAGCCAGGCTGCCTGAAACAGACGGACACTCACACCACCCAGCTGACAGAGGCCAGAGGTCACCCTCACTGCTGACAAGGCCAAGCTCTCATTCAGGATACAAACAAGGCCAACAGGAAAGAGACAGCTAAAGGATCAGTAACAAATGGGTATCTCTAAACCAGATTTACGCAAGAATCACAATCCAACCATTTTCCTGTTATTCTGAACCTGGAAAGGAAGGGACAAAGAGAAATGTTTACCTCTTGTCTCTTGACCCAGGTACTGCAGAGAGATGCTGCTGAGCTGAGGTTGGTAAGAATTTTTGCCCTTCACCTGCTTTTTGTCAGCTGTTCCAGATCTCATTTGCAGGCTCCAGAGTGAGCTGGGCTTCTCTGTCACCCCACGCTGGGCACCAGACACTGTAGAGAGACATGATTTCTTCTCCTCATTCACACAAGGTTTACGGCAGAGATGCCTATAACAAAAGACAGATAAACAAGAGTAAAACATTTGCTTACTTAATAAAGGCTTTACAAAATTTATTTAATGTTTTATTCCATCTATCTAAAACATAATTTGGATCCTGATATTCTTCAGAAATGAAGATCAAAGAAATGGGGAAATCTGTGTATTTTTAGGGGCAGATGTACAGAAGTATTCTTGAAAGACAAAAAGACACTATGCAATGGTAATAAAATGTGGGAGCTTGCAAGGCCTTTTTGTTCAGATTCTTCTTGGTGTCCCTGCAGCTTCATTCTTTTCCTCTAGGTCTACAGATGATCCCTCTAGAATGAGGGGTTTAAGACCTACTTTAGAGGAAGGTCAGAAAATTCTTATGGCTTGTTTCAGGGGATAATGGTGAGAGGTCAGAGAGACCTTCTTGCTTCTGCTGTTTCTCAAACCAAGGTGCCATATTTTGGGGTAGCATATCCTGAACTGCATCAGTATAAAAATTATCATGTTAAATTGTGACTATGTTGGCACTCAAGTAGCTTCTTCCATTCTTATTTTCATATACTCTCTTTAAGCCTGGGCTAGATGTAAGGTCATGAATGTCACATATTTACTCCTTACCTCTTTCTGCTCCCACGTCTCACGTCTCTGTGTAGGTGGAAAGAATGAGATCATGAAAGATGCAGGTAGGGTAGAGGGTGTGATGTAAGTCATAGCAACTGGGTACATCTAGGGTGCTAAGATTTGCTAAGAGTGAGACTTCTTATGGAGAAAATAGAAACGTGAGCATCAGCAAATTAAGACTGCAAGGATGAAACATCATTGCCACTGTTCTGCTGAGTGTCAACCCCACTTGTTAATATGCAATGCTGACAGTTGGTATGGAGACTACACAAAATTGATTCAGAGCAATCTCATTATAAACTGAACACTATTGTCAAATGTGTCTCTGGAGTATCTTTTCCTGGCAACATCCAATCCCTTTTGAAAACTTAATAGATTTAACACAGCTCCCTCTTCTATTAGTATCACTCACATTTTGAGAAATTAAGTTTCTTGTGATGCTTCTCACATAGGAGTTATGAAGTGATGATGAGTTATGAAGTGATCAATTCAAAGACAGATATTTGAAAGGAGCAAATGCTTGAGAATAAAGATGATTTATCTCTGGAAATATATCTCACCTAGAGTTCACTATCATTTTTCTCTACAGAGGGACAAGATAAGTTTTTATAGCAAAACAAAAAGTAAGCTGACACATAAGAACAATACAAACAAAATTTTATTACAATTTCATATTTTCCATTTTGATTTTTTAAAATAATATAATAAACTTGGAGAGTGCCCAGTTTAAGAAAATAGATTATAAAATAAATTTTTAGACTTGGTTATTTGAAAAGAAGAAAACAATGCTTTATTGGAGGATATGAATAAAACTAATACTCAGAAATTTGTGAAGTGAACTGAACATAAGATTATCTAGTTTATTTTAGTGAAGGGAGGTAATGTTTTAAGGTAAAAGAAAATGATTTTTCAGTTGGTAATAATTTATATGATTTACATCAACTTGTAAAATCTGGCCTATTATGCTTAATAAATATCTGAAAAACATGTTTGAAACTCATTAATTAGAAAATTAAGATATATATCTAGGTATATATGTAAAGACTCAAATAATAAATATATTATGCATTACCTAGTTTGTGTGAAGAAATACTATCCTACAGATTTATATTGTATTGTAAGTTTCCTCTGCAGAGGAAGAACTTACAATTTAGAGAAGTTTCATTTATATGTAAGATTCAATATGTAGGTAACAATATATTATAATTACAAAGCAAGGAGGCAGAACTAGAAAGAAAATGGAAGCTGTTTAGAACAACTTAAAAATACTGATGATTTGATTCTGACTTTTTGGAATTTTAAGAAGTCAGCAATACATTAGCTTATGGAAAGGAAGTTTTGAGACTAGAAAGAATGCATTAAAGGAAGTTCTATAGGAAGAAAACATGGTATAGGGAGAAGCAGATGAAGCTATTCTGGGTAAAATCTAGATAAGGATGTATCTGTGAGGTTCAAGGTTAGGTGTCTATAAGCTGTGATGGGTTGAAAGTTTATACTAGTGAATATCAGCATCTCTGTGGCATTAGGAAGTAAGAGTCTGATTTTTAGCCAATACATGAATCTTCACAATATTGTGAAGATTCATATAGTGGCTTTTTTTTTAACCTTGACTGCCTTCATGCATTTCATTATGCATGAAGCAGCCAATCCCCAAAGACTATAAAGGGGGATATAACTCAATTAAAAATTAAAAAATCAACTTTGGGAACAGAAGTAGAACTAATCATTAAAAATACTCCTTTTTCCTACTTTAGAATAATTTAGAGTTTGGTATACGTTTGTAAAATATACAAAAAGACTGTCAGAAGAGGCATAGCAAGATGGCTGAATATAGCCCTTCAGTTATTGTTCCCCCAGAGAGACACCAAAGTGAACAACTATTCACTCAAGAAAGGATGTTCTGGCCGGGCGTGGTGGCTCACGCCTGTAATCCTAGCACTTTGGGAGGCCGAGGCGGGCGGATTGCTCAAGGTCAGGAGTTCAAAACCAGCCTGAGCGAGACCCTGTCTCTACCAAAAATAGAAATAAATTAATTGACCAACTAAAAATATATATACAAAAAATTAGCCGGGCATGGTGGCGCATGCCTGTAGTCCCAGCTACTCGGGAGGCTGAGGCAGTAGGATCGCTGAGCCCCGGAGATTGAGGTTGCTGTGAGCCAGGCTGACGCCATGGCACTCACTCTAGCCTGGGCAACAAAGTGAGACTCTGTCTCAAAAAAAAAAAAAAAAAAAAATGGGGGCACACTCACAGTACCTGGCTTTAGCATAACAACAAGGAAAGAGGCATTGAGGAGGGTAGGAAGGACAGTCTTGTATTTCCTCCCCTGGCCCAACAGTCATGCAGAAGTACCACTGAAGGACAAAAGGGTGTGATCTAATGGCAATAACCTGGGGGAGGCTTAGCAAGGCCTTAGTTTGGATTCTTCTTGGTGTCTCTGAGATTTTGAGGATAAAAGTGTTTCTTTTCTCTGGATCTGTGGAGGAACACTCTTGGAATGAGGGCTCTATGATCTATTTTCATCAGAAATTCAGCTAGGTTTTATGGCCCACTTCAGGGGATAAAAAAGTGAGGGGATTCTTTCTATTTTCTGTGGCCTGCTTCTGCTGTTTCCTCAAATGCCAAGGTACCATAATTTGGGATGGTGTGTCCCGGACTCCAGTACATTTGCATATTTATGTTTATAGAAAAATAAAGTCAGAGAGTGTTTGGTTTGGTTGTTCTCTTTTCTCTATTTTACACAGGTTTACACTACATAAAGCATCACGTAAATAGCTGTGATTTTTAAAACTTAATTTAAAGTAACAAAAAAGAAGAATATTAAGATGCTTCTGCCTGGTAAGTGCCATGATTAACATCAAAGGGAGGATAAATTTAACTCTGCTCTTTCCATTTAGATAGCCCATCAGAGAACAGAACAATGCTCAGAATGTTTTGCTGGACACTACTGAAGGAAGATTTTACTTTCAAAGCTTTTTTTCTAGGGCTGTATTTTGCTAAAGGTTGGAGTTCTACAGTAAATGGATCTCTGCTTAGCAGAACCATTAATGAATTTTTGCATAGGTTATAGTACGCCCAGAGCTGAGTCTGTGGTAGGGATAAGAGACTCTTGAATTATTCTGCATAACAGTGTGGGAAATTGTACACTTCAAAGAAACTAGAGAGGGGGTGGAGGAGACTTGAGATGGGAGGGTGAGTTCTCTAAAAAAAGATATCTATTATTATTATTAAATTGCATGCTGCTCTTTGCTGGAATTCTCTGTAATACCCTTACATTTCTAGAAAATGTCTGCGGTATACAACTGCTTTTGTGAGGAACTCGTTTTTCCCCACAAAAACAAAATTCTTTTGTGAGGAAAAATCAAAGTGAAAGAGTCTCTGTTTCTTGTTTTTGTCCTTCTAGAGGGGAAAGGCAAGACCAGCTGCCAGTGGTGAGCTAAGAGTCATGTCACCTATTCATCAGAAGCAGAAGATCAGAAGATGATTAGAAGACCTCAGATTAATACCAGTGATGTTGGAGTGGGAAGGAACATTGCATTTTACTTCTTTGAAATTCAAATATTAACACTGAGGGTGGCTATAGTCTCTAGACTATACATAAGAACATAATGTTTGAGTATATATATTTATTCCTACAAAAGGAAGGAAGAGAAAGGGTGGCTACATTCCAATATTTGCTAGTTCACTATATGGAGAATCAACTGCATATAGTCCTACCCACACATATAACACCTGCCAAATAAAAAAATAAATCCAGACTCAGTACGGGGAGTTTATTAGAAAGGATTATTGCAAAGTAGCAGTGGTTTGTGAAAGGCACTACTGATATATGAAAAACACTGTGACCACAAGATATGCAAGGGTCTTGAGAATTAGCAAAAAAGTAATCGTATTTTATAGCGAGAAAAGGACTGGTATGGGGAAGTAGGATGCAAGGGTGGCATGATCTGACAGTAGATCCAAGAATGTTTCACCTGAAGGCCAGCCCTTTTCGGGGGATGGTTTCTTAAGGTGGTTAAGAAAAGTCTGTTTGCTGCCTCAGGCTGAGGGTAAGCCCAAGTTCAGGGGCCTGAGAGAAGGAAGAAAGCTTAACCAAAGTTGTGTAACCAGGTATTTTGTTCCCACTGATCAGTGGGTACTGACAAAGATTCTCTCCTTGACCAAATGCTACTCAGTCTTCTCTGAACTCTCTGCTCAACGAGGCTTCACCTCCAGACTTCCATGTTCATCTCTTTATTACCCAATATTATCAGGAATACTGCTGGAACAGCTGGAACAAGAACTCCCTTGATATCTGATCACTGTCAATATACGATTGGGTTCTTCAACCTCCACCATCCCCAAGTGATGTCCAAGCACCCTGGCTTGCCTTCAGCAAGAATCCTCTTAGGTCACTTTAGCCAGAATTCCCCTTACCTCTGATGTTTCCTCTTAGCAGTTTTTCATCCACAAACCCCAACCTTGCTCCTTGTCTATAAATTCCCACTTGCCCACGCTTTATTTGGAGTTGAGCTCAATCCCTCTCTCACACTGCCAGACCACATCATGGTGGTGGTCCCTACACCTATTGTGACATCCCTCCCTTGAATAAAGTTGTTTTTTCCCACATTTAACAAGTATCACAAAGAATTGTTTTAACAGCACAAAACAGTTCAGCTAATTATTTATGAGTCGAAGAATGGGGATCTGAATGGTCTGTGTCCTGCCTTGTCATAGGTAAACATGGCGGCTGCACAACTTTGTCTCAGTCACATGGAAAAGGGAGGATTCTTTATAGAAAGTTGTTTCCCAGAACACAAAGGCGGCCAGAAAAGAGAGGATTCCTTTAACCTTTCCTGTTTTCCAAGAGCACAGAGTTCAGTAAAAATTCAACTTGTCAAAGAAAGAATAACTCCTCCTCTTGCAATAAGCCCAAATATAAGAAACTGTATATATGAGCAATAGTTATTATGTAAATAAGCAATTTTCATGGACAGGATGTAAACTCATGGACGATTTACATGATGTACCTAATATATGTGTTAATACTGTTGCTAATATAAGCTGAATTACTGTAGCCATTATGAGGGACCAGAGACTGTGTTAACCATAGTGAATGGACTATTTAATTAATTCTCACAAAAACTTTTATGAGGAATTTAGTGTTAATACATTAATTTTACAGAAAAGAACATATAAACAAAAAAGCTAAGGTGGCCCAAGGCCACAGTGCAGTTAAATGGCAGCCCAATTTTTTTTATCGTTGAAATACTCCCCCCTTTTCTTGCTTTGAAGGATAGGAAAAAACAAAGTGTTCTTCTGCATACTACCTACGACAACACTTCTGACACCACCTGTGTTGGGGGCAGTGGCGGGGAGGATTTTCCCACATACCATGCAATTCTCCAGCAGACACCAGCTAGTGTTTCTATAATTCAATTTAATTCTAACACCATCGACCTGAAGATAGTGTCAGACCCCAGGGGTTGAGGGCCCAGTTACACAACACTGTCCCCACTACTTCAGATGCCAATCACAAGTATCCTGTTGTCACTATAATCTGAATGACAAGCTATAAATCAAGGTTCCCACTACCTATTCTTTGAGTTAGATTAATTTGCTAAAGGGTCTCACATACCTCATGGAAACCCTTTACTTACACTTACTGGACTATTAATAAAGGGTATAGTAAGGGATACAGATGCACAGCCAGATGAAGAGGTGCATAGGGCGAGGTCTGGAAGGGTACAGAGCACACTAGCTTCTGTGCCTGTGGAGTTAAGGTGCACTAGCCACCCAACATGCGAACGTGTTCACCAACCCAAAAGCAATCTGAATCACAGTTCAGGGAATTTTATGCAGTCTTCCTCATGTATACATTCACTCAATTTCTAGCCCCTCTGCCATCTCTGGAGAACAGGAGGTGGGGTACAGCTGAAAGCTCCAAGCTTCTAATCATAACTTGGTCTTTCTGGTGACCAGTCCCATCTAGAAGCAAACCCAGAATTGATCTCAGAAGAAAAGACACTCCTATCACTCAGGAAATTCTAAGGGAATTAAGAGCTTTGTGTCAGAAACTGAGGTCAAAGGCCAAATATATGAAAAAAAGATCTTCCTAGCACCCCTATAGCTCAGAAAATTATAAGAGTTTTTAGGAGGGGGCTGGAGGCAGAGACCAATATTTCTTATTATTTTATACTGACAGTCAAGCTATTTCAGATATTACACTGATATCTCATTAATTACTTGGTCAAGTTTAAGGCATGTGGCAGATTCACATGCTTAGAGACTGAAGCAGAATTAAGCAGAGAGAATTACAACTCTGATGGTACATTATATAGGAAGGTTAAACCTCTTTTTCTTTCTAACCCCTTAGGCTCAATGGCTGGGCCCATGAATCAAACTGATAAGTGACACATTAACAAGAGTAGAACCAGTTTTAATTATTAGTGTGCATGTACACAAGGAGTTCACAAAGAATGTTGCTGTCAAGGAGGTGGCTGGATGGTTGAGGCATTTATATCCTCTTATGTTAAACAAAAGAAAAGTGGTTTGAGGCTTCTGGGTAAAGGAGGCAAGTTTTGGGAAGGGGACAAGAGGAAATGTATGGTAAGTAGGAACCATCTTTTTATGCAGGTAAGAATCAGGCATAACACTGTCTGTGAGAGTAGCTCTCCTGGTAGGCAGGTATCTTTACAAATGGAAATTGTCTTTATAAATGGAAATCTCCTTTACAAAAGAAAAAATTTACATCTATTTTTAGACTGAAGGAGATAAAGAATTTTTCCAGTATGTGCTATTTCTTAATGGCCCTTAGCTCAAAATAGTCCATATGCCAAAAAAGTATATTTTCGAATGGCATATTCTCATACCCTTAACTGATGTTTTAGAATTAAGATGATGACAAAAGCAACTTGGATCAAATTCTTTTTTCTTTTATGAGGAATTTAGTTTTAATACATTAATTTTACAGAAAAGAACATATAAACAAAAAAGCTAAGGCAATTGCCTAAGGCCACAGTGCAGTTAAATGGCAGCCCAATATTTTTTATGGTTGAAATACTCACCCCTTTTCTTGCATTGAAAGATAGGAAAAAACAAAGTATTCTTTGTTTTTAATAGATGTGGCCATTTATAAAGATACATCATTACCTGTTAGGTATGACTTTTACTTCTTTTAAAGTAGTCAATTCCTCTAAAATATTTTTTTTTAAAAAGGTCTTGATAATCAATACTTCTTATTTCTTAGGCAAATTTAGGAAACCATGTGATATTAAAGGATATTTGAATCATGTATTGAAGGTATCTTCTCAACATTTTAATATATGCAAACCATTGATTTATCTTCACATAATTCTTATAACTCACTTAACAAATGAGAAAAACAGTATTGATACACATGAATAACTCAAAGATAAAAAAAGAAAATTAATAGAGTAGTTGATAAAATAACTAATAAAATCAAGTACTTCTAGAATTTTAGACATATTTGTCTACAATTCTCCTTTACAAACCATGTGTGAAATTCAATAAATCTCAACTAATTCTTTACATTAGTATGTGTTTGAAGATGCTAATTGGCCTATTTGTGGAGGATAAGTTTAGAGATATTTCATATTCAGAAAGTTATTTGGGGATTTTTCTCTCTCTTCTATAAAAAGTCTTTAGTATTAAATTTAGGACTTTTCATCCCTTCTATATAAAATAGGTTAAAAAAAATGAGGTCATTTGGTTGTTATACACTCAAACACGTAATCAAGAAAAAGATTAGAGAACATTTAAAAGTAAAATCAATGATTACTTTGTAATATTAAAAATCACACTTTCAATGTCTCAATAAAATATTAGAAATTATAAGATCTTAGTATAATTTTATTTATAAATATCTGTATTTGTGTTCTTATTATGTATAATCAATTAGTAAATTGCCAAGTAAAATTTAGATATGGCAGAAGCCATGTTAATTTGAATATCAAATTAAGGTATGATGAGAAAGGAACAGATGACTGTTTTTCTGTTTTGATTTTAAACGTTTGCAAATGTGTGATTCTATGTTGCTTCTTATTGTGCATATTTGCAATGGATTTAAATTCAGAAATAAATCATCTAATGAAGACATCTAATGAAGGGAAAATAAAGTCTAATTTCTAAAAATGCCAACCTGTTTATGCAGTATAAATATTCAACATGGATTATTTCGCCCAAGACATTCATATTTGAGGAAATATAACCTTGGAATCCCTTTTACCCTGTTCTTAGCATTTATTCTTTTTATTCAGTTCTGTGGAGCCAATTCAGTGCATTCATTTATCCACTTACATAAGAATTTGTTGAGTTCCTACTATACATCAGACACTGTGTTGTACACTATAGCATCTTATGGAAAAGATGTATAGACCAACGTCTTACTGTTTAGGGTACATTCTATATATTGTTATGAATGTGTACATTACAGATGGCTGGATGAATGGAGCGATAGATGGATGAACTGAAGATCTCAAGCAAACACATTTTCTATGACTTCTAAAATGCAACACGAAGCTCAGTGTATACTTGTAGTGAGAGCATTGTCGTCTACAACAAGCATCAGACCTCTGTAGGCTCTTTGTGGGTCTCAGCCTTTGGCACAGCACTTGAAGCTCATATCAATTATAATCCCTCAGTGGTACACTAGGTGATCATTTGATTATTTACATCTTCCTTTATTAATTCTTTATATCTTTATCAACTACTCACTCTGTTCCAAGAATTTTGTGGAGCCTTGGCATCCACGTCTTCATGCATCAGAATTTGGTAAAACAACACAGACTTTGAGCAAATAATTGAAGTGTAAAAAGAATATTAAAACGAAGTCAAGGGAAGTACGAAAGCTCAAGTAACCTTGAGGAGAAAAATACAAAAGGATACCTGAAAAAAAGTTGGAGTTAGCCAGAGGATACTGGGATTACGCGTCGATTTGGGGTGGTGATGAACGTAGACAGAACTTTCCGAAGAACACCAAATGTGAAAGGTCAAAGGCAGGACCTAAAACGAAGTTTGTAAATGTGTAGCATTTAGAACAACGGTGAATATTACAGTGCTAGCAAAGGTTAGAAAGGTAGGCTGAGATCTCGTCACAAGAAGCCCCAACTCTGCCACCTCTTCTACCATGGAAACTCCGCTAAAGTGCCACGGTGGAAAGACCATGCCTGTCTTGTTTGATACTGTTTTTGTTTTGTTTTGTTTTTCCTTAAAGTTTAGTAAGATTTATCATCCCTTTCTACATTCTTATTTTGATATTCAATCTTGGTTTTCTAAACTGAGAAACCAACTAATTGGCCTTACTTTGGGCCCACCCTCAGACTCTCCCACAAGCTCCTTTCCCGTGAGCAAATAGACAAGAGGACACCCGCCATTCCAACGCTTGAAGAGACCAGCGACTCCCCTCTGCCTGGCCCCATGAAGCACAGGGCGCATTCGTGTCCGTGTCACAGGTTTTTGGTTACCCACAGGTGCACAGAGCTGCAGGGCCCCAGGGGTAAGAGGGAGGCCATCCTCTTCGGGTCACTCCCGCGGAGGCTCGGCCGTGGGAACTACACCTTGCAGAGTGTGCCCAGGGTGGTGAGGGCGACCGTTCCCCGTACCGTGACTCAAGCAGCCTCTGGCATCTGTCAGGCTGCAGCAGCCACTGACAGGACTGGAACCTGCCTGACTTCCGCAAAACCACAGCGCCTGCCGCCAAGACGACCGAAGCTTGCTCACCATGCTGCAACCACGCCGGCGTCACCCCCGCAAGGAACCGCGACTACACCCTCGAACTCCGGGGGAGACCAGGGCTAGCTCACAGCCTCGTCTTTGGGCCTCCACACACGCGCGACCCGCAGGCGCCGGGCGGTGACGTCACACCACAGGCCGTGGCAATAAGCCAATCGCCGACGAGCTAACAGGTGGCTGCCGGAAGTTCCTCGTAGCTGGGTGCATCTCAACGCTCGCGATAAGCGTTGTTTGACGCCATCTTCCCATTTTCTAGCAGAGCGCTTGACAGAGCGGGAGCACTCAATAACTCTGCCAGGTAAGAAATAAAGGCATTTTCGATGTTATTTCATTTGAGCAACAAAGTTTAGATTGGAATAGTTAATTGTTGCAGCTGTACTTGTAGGTATAAACATATATGCCTAGAAAGACGATTATTGACGTCTAGCTTCTGTTTATCCAGGTTTCATAATTTACTTGCTTCACTTAAGTTGGTTGTGTTGCTGTAATAACTCTTAAATAATATTGAAATATTTATTTCTTTTTCTGTTATATAAATATATTAAAGTCTGATTCACATGTTTCAGAGGCTATTTAAAATAACTGTGTATTTTCTGTAGTATATTTATAAGTTATTTACCAAACAGCCCCCATTCACACCCAATTTCAAGGTGAAAAATTATTCTCTTAAAAGTCTCCCCTCCATATTTTAAAGCTTCCAGTGCAATTTATTGTTCTACAACACAAAACGAACATTATGCTTTTACTTTTAAGTGCTAAATTTGTTTTGTGTCTAAATGTTTCCTATAAATTTTTGAGACAATATAAAGCCTTTTACTTGTTTTCACAATTATTTTTAAGATTATAAAAGTATTTACCATTATAAAAGTATTAATAGCCTATAATAGTTGCCAGAGATTAAATGCTTGAAAAAGTTATAAGTTCTAAACCAGTGATTCTTTGTTGGACTTCAGAGTGTGCCTGGCCTCCAAGATATTGCTTATAAAATGCTGAAGGTCTACATGTGCATTCATTTTATATAGTCAACAGGGAAAGTTACAATATCTTCTATTACATTCTCTAATGGGTCTGTCGCCTTTCATAAAAAGGTTAAGAACCACTGTTGTAAATAAATATGTTTTTCTCCAAGGTTTTATAAACGCACAAAATTTTGCTTTAGAAAATTGACTTTTTCCTCTCTTGTGTTCTTGTAGCTAATTTCTCACTAAGACTAAAGCAGAGCAAGAGCACGTTGAACAAGTGAAGCCAATTCCACGTTTGGAAGGTCTGGCAGTTGCTTTAGTAATGTGGAGAAGCATTAATCCCTCTGGTTTTTAATTAATATTATGTTCTAACTTGGTCAGAGAAGAATGATCTTTAACCAGATGTTTTTACAAGTGACTTACATCAGCTTATCCATATTTCCCATGAGACCATAACGACAAGAATGTTGTTATTAATGGTAATTATCTGTCAAGTCCACTTAAAGCAGTCTTAAATAATTAACACATTATCACTTTTGCACAGTTGTCTCTCAGTGACTGGATAACTCTCTTTGTATACTGAGTCTATTCCTTTTCCTTCTCTTGATTCTGTAGACGACTTTTTTTTTTTTTGACTAAATGCTAGCCATCTGCTAGTATTCTTTTCTGAAAAGACTCTCAGAACCTTTTAAAAACTACATGGGTAATCCATTAACCACAGAGCTGTTCTCTGTTGTCTGCATGTAGAAAGTGAGTTTGAGTAACAAATAGAAGAGAACAAAGAGCATTTTTGTTTTTTCCATACTTCTAGAGTATATAGTCTTAGCTCCTGTGGTGTCAAAGAGGAGAAACTTAGGCAGATTATATATAATACAGCATGAATACATGCTAATATTATTTTCCAATCATTGTATAGTAGTACAGTTTCAGCTGTTTAAAGTATTTTTATAAACAAAAATTACCTGTTAGCATTTAGGATCAAAAAGCCTGCAGTTTTGGTTGCCTGGTTTGAGGGTTTTTATTATAAACTAAAGTGTTTTTATTTAAAGATTCTGCGAGGCAACAGAGTTGTAGTAGGTCTCCATTTGCAAAGGTATTACAACTACTGGTTATAAAGCTAAATAGTAAATAGGGTTATTTGAATTCCTTGCCACAATTAAAATACATGGATGTGAGAAGGAAATTTTTCTCCAGCACATAATATAAAATCAAGTCAGAGGAGACTGGTCGTCTTCAGGGTGGCATGGTATCATCTCATGCCAGCTAGAATGGTATTATGAAAAAGACAAAAAAATAACAAATGTAGTGAGGGTACAGAGAAAAGGGAGCTCTATACGCTGTTGGTGGAAATGTAAACTAGTGCAGCCACTGTGAAAAATGGCATAGAGGTTCCTCAAAAACTATGAGTAGAGTTACCATATGATCCAGCAAACCCCCAGTAGGCATTAACTAAAGGAAAGAAAATCTGCATATTGGAGAGACATCCGCACTCTCATGTTTATTACAGCACTATTCACAAGTGCCAAGATAGAGAATCAAACTATGTGTCTAACAGCAGATACATGAATTGGAAAAATGTGTTATATATACTTAATGGAGTACTATTCAGCCAGAAAGAAGAATGAAATTCTGTCATTCAAAGGAATATAGATGGAACTGGAGGACATTGTGTTAAGTGAAATAAGCCACAACCAGAAAGTTAAACACTGCATATTCTCACTCATGTGAAAGCTAAAAAATGTTGGTCTCATGGACTAGAGGATACCAGGGTAGGAAAAGGGTAGAAGAGAAGGAGGGGATAGAGAAATATTTATTAAAGGATACAAAATTACAATGATAAATGTTTGAGATGAAGGAAATGCTAATTACCCTGATCGGATCACTATACATTGTATACATCAAAACATCACTATGTACCCCATAAATATATATAATTATTATACATAAATTTTAAAAAAATCAAGTAATTACATGATGGCCAATATCAGTGATTAGCCAACCTCATCTGTTCATGACAGAGCTTTCTGTTTTTCAAATGAAAATTTGATTATTTTTAAGTTTTAAGGATATATAATATGTATTCATAAATATAGAGTGTGGAATGATAGGCAGTGGAGACTCCAAAGGGTGCGGAGGTGGGGGGGGGTGATGCGAAATTACTTAATAGGCACAAAATATGTTATTTGTTGATAGGTATACTAATAGCCCTGACTTTACCACTAAGCAATTTATGCATATAACAAAATTATACTTGTACACCATAAATTTGTACAAATTTTAAAAAAGTAAAAATAAAAGACACCAAAATAATATAAAATATATAATGTGATATTATATGTGATAGTATACCCCCCAAATTTAATGATTTTTACCTTTTATTATACTTCTATCTTTTTAAAAAATAGAATCATACTATTTTTTTGAGACAGGGTTTCCCTCTTTTGTCTAGGCTAGAGTGCATTGTTGTTATCATAGCTCATTGCAACCTCAAACTCCTGGGATCAAGCAATCTGCCTCATCCACCTGAGTAGCTGTGACTATAAGCACGTATCACTATGTCCAGCTAATTTTTATTTTAAATTTTTTTTAGAGATAGGGTCTTGCTATGTTTCCCAGGCTGGTCTGGTCTCAAGCACTCCTCAAGCCTTAGCCTCCCAAAGTTCTGGGATTATAGGTATAGGACACTGTCCACAGCCTTAGAATCATAATATTCAGTTAGCTCTGCTTTTTTTCTTTTTGATAAACTTTATTTTTTAGAACAGTTTAAAATTTACAGAAAAATTGAGATGATACTACAGAGAATTTATATAAACACCACACCCAATTTCTCTTATTACTAACATCTTACATTAGTATGACACATTTATTACAATCAATGAACCATTGTTAATACTATATTATTAACTAAAGTTCATATTTTCATTCAGATTTTTAAAGTTTTTACCTGAAGCCCTGTTCTTTTCCAGGACCCATCCAGGGTACCACATTGCATTCAATTGTCATGTGTCCTTAGGCTCCTGTTGGCTCTGATATTTTCTTAGACTTTCCTATTTCACAATTTTGAAGAGTACTGGTAAAGTGTTTTGTAAAATTTCCTTAGGATATATGTGATGGTATTCTTATGATTGGAATGGAATTATGAATTTGGGGGAGAAAGACCTCATAGTAAAGTATAGTTATTCCTCAGTATCTGAGGAGGTTTGGTTCCAGGCCTGTGGATACTGACATCTAAGGATGCCTAAGTCTTTTATATAAAATGATGTAGTATTTGCATATCATCTATGCACATCTCCTGTATACTTTGACTCATCTCTAGATTACTTATAATACCAAATACAACATAAATTGTATGTAAATAGTTGTTATATTCAGTTATTTTAAAATTTTTATTATTTTTATTGTATTTTTATTTTTTATTGTTTTTTTAAAAGTATTTTTGATCTGAGTTTAGTTCAGTCTGCAGACTCGGAACACACAGATACAGAGGTTCAACTAACTGTATCACACTCATCACTTCATAACAAGGGCATATACTGGCCCCACCAATAGTCATTGATGATGTTAACTTTGATCACCTGGTGGAGGGACTGCTTGTCAGGTTTCTCCCTCTGCTGTGAAGTTACTCTCCGCCCCCATCCATGCTCCAGTCTTTGGAATAAAGTCATTATGAGTGGTTTACTGGGGGGCAGTTAGGCTCTTCCTCTTTGAAAGCAGAGAAGCTGTATAAATTATTTGAAATTCTTCTGCCAGAAAGATTTATGTCTTCTGCATTTATATATTTATTTGATTGTTTTATATCAGTATGCATTAATGGATATTTTATATTTTGGGTAATAATCTTTTATTTAGTTAGTTGCTCCTGTTATTCAAACTTTGGCCTTTTTTCAGGTGATACCTGTGTCCCTTTGATATAACCTCATTACTCTAGCGTCTTTCTTTTCTTTTCTTTTCTTTTTTTTTTCTTTTCTTTCTTTCCTTTATTTCATAGTTCCTTACTTTCTGGCAGTACAAGACGTTCCAAGGTCATTCGTATACATCTTGTGCAAGTTCTAGAATCAACCATTTCTCCAAGTAGCCCTAACTCTGCTTTCTTCACTACCTTATTTTTTAGACATATTCCAGGTTCATTAATATAGATATAATTTATTTTATTTTACTGTTGTATAGTATTAGATTTTATAAATATGTGATATTCTGTGTATTCCTTTTTATTATAGGTTTAGATTATCGGCAGATGTTTATGATAAACAATACTTCAGTGGCTATCTTGAAAATGAGATTTTGAGTTAATGCCTAAGTTCCTCAAAGTTAAATTCTAGAAAAGAAATCAATGGGTCATGAGGTCTGACCATTTTTTAATTTTACTAGAAAGCATCTCATTACATGGCAAAAGATTATGCCAATGTACTTTCCTTTAGTAGAGTCCTGAAACTTCATCCATACAAGTGTCTCTTATTGTTATTTCATTTTGCAATTCTCTAACTTCAGGTGGTTAAGCATCTTTGCATACATGCTTTAACCATTCCTGCTTTCCCTCTATAAATCACTTATTCATTTTTTTAGTAATTTTTTAAATTAGCTATTTTTTGATATATATATATACACACACACACACATATATATCTGTTAGTATATACATTGAAAATATACAAAAATATTGTCCTTTTGGTTACTTATATTACTAATTTGTAGCACTTCTATAAAATTATAATTTTAATATAGTAGGATTTAACAAGCTGCTTTTTCATGGTGTACAATATTTTTCTTGGTAGTGGGGGAAAAGGGGTATGTTTAGGAAATGTTTCTCTGTCCCAAGGAGGTCATGAAATTTATCTACATTTTTAATAAGAGTTATGAGGCTTTGTTTTAAAATGTACTTATATATAATTATATTTTTAATTTTTAAATTTTTAATTATTAGGTGTATATATAACAATTGTATATATTTGTGGGGTCTGTGTGATGTTTTGATACAGGCATATAATTTTCAATTTCCATTATTGTTTACTTATGACTTCTCTTTTCTTGATGAGTCTAACCATGTATGTTTTGTTTGTATTTTAAAAGAACATTTAATTTTATTGAACACTTCCTTTTCTTTTGTTTGTTTTCTTTTTCATTAATATTTATTTTCTCCTGAGTTCTGCTTTCTTCTGCTTTCTTTGAGTTTACTGGTTTCTTTCTTTTTTTTTTTTTTTCCATTTTCTAGTTTGTTGTTTTAAATGGCTCGTTTATTTTCATTGTAGTTGAAGATATGAGTAATGGTTTCAAGGTTGTAAATTTTTCTTTAAATATTGTTCAA